ATAAATAAATAATTATTTCTTTGATCGCAACATAGTGCTATAGTTTGTAGAAGTTCTTCCATATTTTTCTACGGGTCACTAGGATCTTATTACATCAGCTAAAAGAAGCACACCCTTGTATTAATTTCGCAAGAGTTGTTGGATCATTCGAGCCTTTGGCTATCTGCCCTGGTTCCATGTGAAGAGATGAATTACCTAAACTAAATGTAAAGACATTTGAAAAGGGAGAAAGAAGAAGCTCTGTTTCACGGCGAATGTTGAAATATTTATCAGAAGAAATATGCCAAGCTGAGCGATGAACTCTTTCCTCCCAAAAAGCACACATAATCTTCAGGAGCTTGTCAAATAAATCTGTTGGCACAACTTCTATTTATTTTTTCTGACCTAAGCAAGGACTTTCAGATATATCTCAAGCCAGTTTTATGGCCTAGCCCTTAAGTAATTTGGATTAGCTATGTTAGCAAAAAAAAAAAAAAAAAAATGTGATGCCTTACTTTTTGCAAGTTAGATCATAACATCACATATTTCCGTCAGGGTTTTGTTATAGAATTTAGTCATTCTGTTATTTGCATTATCCAAGTGAATCAGAATGTAAATACCAAAATGCCAAAAAGTTTGTTAAGGCTAGGGCTGCACAATTTAGCTTTCACCACAACAGTGAATATGTATGAATATCTCAAAGAACTTCCTAGAGTCTTATACCTAACTATTCAAGTTACATACAGGCATTAAAAAAATAAAAAATAATTGTACGTTTTTTCCAGTGGCTCGAAAGACTGTTGTTAATCCACCAAAATCAACTGTAAATGTAGAAGCTAAATTCCAAATGTATAGAATTCCACCTACAAACAAAAGCTAAAAGAGAACTGGATTATGTTGATATAACAAAAACAGCATTATATACAGCTTTGAATTAAAATTCTGCAAAAAAGCATTGTTTTGATTAAGCATATCATTATTTTTATTTTTTACTGAAATGTATACATCTTCAAATTATTTCTGTTCAGTGAGAAAAACCTTGTTGTGTGGGGCTGTTATCCTGCACTTATTTTCTTTAAAGACTCTACAGGTCAGAGTGTTTTGTTTCTGAAGTATATTTTTTGATGGTTTCCATCATCCAAGGTTCAGTTGGATAATAGTATTTACAGTACTTTTTATAACTTACAGGTGCATTCTTCATCCCTTACTTCCTTTTTCTTGTTACCTGTGGTGTCCCTCTGTTTGTCCTGGAAACATCGCTGGGCCAGTACACCAGTCAGGGAGGAATCATGTGCTGGAGAAAGATCTGCCCCTTGTTTGAAGATGAGCAAACCAACCTATTCAAAGCATAAATAAAATGTAGAAAGAAATGGTTACATTTAACAAGAAATCTAAAAAAAATTATTTGTTTTTCCAGGTATGGGATATGCCAGTCAGTTGATAATTTTTTATGGAAACATCAGCTATGTTGCGATTTTAGCCTGGGCATTCCTGTATTTCTTCTCGTCATTCTCTGGAAAGTTGCCATGGGCCAGCTGTAACAACACGTGGAATACAGGTAAATAATTCATTATTATAATAATCCAACACTATAATTGAACACTATAACATGCTGTTGTATTAAACCACATTAAGGTAAATAATGTTTTATAAGGACTTAAAACCTAGCAAAACCAAGTCAAGATGCACAAACTGTAGTGACAAGTTGGCATGTTTAACAAAGATTTGGTATATTTCAGATTGTTGTGTGGAAATAAACAACTATATTAAGACTGCCAACTGGACCGCACCTGTGAATGCATCATCGTCTGTTATAGAGTTTTGGCAGTAAGTCTCTATTATCAGGCTATTATTATTAATAATTATTAATAATACTTTCCTGTAAATAAAGGGAGTTAAAGTGGATGGATGGATCGATGGATAAATCGTTGTTTTGTTGTTTGTTTAATTTTTACGAAAAATGTATTTAGTTTCATTCAAAGTCTTTTCATGGAATTAAATTTTAGTCAGTCTTTGCCTACTATAACCAAATTTAAAAATAGAAGCCTCTTTCCAGACACCCTTTGAGAAGAAGTTTAGTCACATCTTGTAGAAAAAGTTATACTTGAATCAAAACAATGAAAACCAAAATGGACTGTGGTCAGCAGGGCCGTATGCAGGGCCCAAAAAATGCTGAGGTCAAGAGTCAGAACTTCTAGGCTTGTTCGGTAGCAGGCTCCCTCAGAGATGTTTTTAATTCCATTATTCAAATCTGTTCATTTTCAGAGTTTTTAGGAGCAAATACCTCATTGTGACTTTTGAAAGGTCTTGACTATGAATTTCTCTGTTTGTCATGATTTTATCGAAAGATCTGACCCACATGCAGAAAACCAAACAGAGAGACCAGGGGAAGGTTTAACAGGTTTATTGAGAACTGGTAGAGATGGGTCAAGTGCTGCTCTGAACACTGGCGAACCGGGACTGAAAAGAGAAGGGGAAGTTCCTGTGGTTAGTTCAGGCTCAGTGGGAAATTTGAGCTTCGATTTGCAAAAGGGCATAAAGGCAACAGGACTCACGTGTCCTGAAAAGGTGTCTTTCTCTGAATCCAGTAGGTGTGGGTTGTTCCAGTAATTAACTTGCTCATTGGAGGGTGGACAGGGATTACCCAGGTCGAGGTGTTTCCTTGAGGAATGGAGGAGCTTGCTGCCACTTAGATTTTCTATGGTACTTGAACAGTTTCTTGAGGAGATGAATCCCCTGCTCGGTGTGAAGCTCAAACAATCCTTTGGGGAAAAGTAGATCCAAACCTCCTGTTTGAATCCCCGGCTCAGTTTAAAGCTCAGATGGGCTAGAGTACCCAAAACTGGCAAACACTATGGCGTTGAGGTAGTGGCAGTCAGCAGCTTAAGAGTCCTCTGGTAATGAGGCAACCATCCGCAGGTGTGTGAGAAGGCCAACGAGAACCAGTGGCCACCTGGTGGTGGAGGGAAGACAAACAAAAACACAACCCACACAAACTGGATTCCTAACACTGTTCCTCCTCTCCTGTCTCCCCTGCTAGACATTTCAGACATTAAAAATTGATGATTGATGATTTTAATGTCATCTTTCGAAGCTTAAGTCTATAACTGCTTAGAAATATGTCACAAATGACATTCCAGTATAACTGAAATGTCAGTTGAAATTAGTTGTTTCATATATACATGAGTATTTCAAATAGACCTTCAGACCCTATTACAATATTAAAGGAATAGTACACCCAAAACATGATTAGCCTTCATTTTCTACTCACCCCCATGCTGAACAACACTCTGGAGTACTTTTTTNAAAGCAGTCAGAGTCATAACAAATTACACACACTTTGGTTAACAGTAACATGTTATGAATAAACCTTGAGAAAGAACCTGATTTGTTATGGGGAGAAGCTATGTCTGGTCTACAAGCACCAGCCTGGAGAGAAATGTGTGGCCTTGAGAGAGGAACACACTGAGTGAAAAAGCTCAAACAATCCTTTGGGGAAAAGTAGATCCAGACCTCCTGTTTGAATCCCCAGCTCAGTTTGAAGCTCATATGATTCTTCCAGGGGGGAAAGGGCCAAAACATCCAGTTTGCAGGATGACTTCCCGCCGAGAGGCAAAGACAACAAAACAAAAAGGTTAAGACTCAGGTTGACAAAAACTCAGTTTCACTCAGCAAAACTCAGCTTGGCTAGAGTACCCAAAACTGGCAAACACTATGGCGTAGAGGTAGTGGCAGTCAGCAGCTTAAGAGTCCTCTGGAAATGAATCAACCATCCGCAAATGTGTGAGAAGGCCAACGAGAACCAGGCGAGAACCTGGTGGTGGAGGGAGGACAAAAAAAACACAATCCACACAAACTGGATTCCTAACACTGTCCCTCCTCTCCTGTCTCCCCTGCTTGACATTTCAGACATTATAAACATGAATTTAATGTCATCTTTCGAAGCTTAACTGCTTAGAAATATGTCACAAATGACATTCCAGTATAATTGAAATGTCAGTTGAAATTAGTTGTTTTATATATACATGAGTATTTCAAATAGACCTCAGGACCCTATTACAATATTATGTTGATTATGGTGTCTTATATTTCAATTGAGTTCAGTTTATTTATATAGTGCCAAAATACAACACATGTCATCTCAAATCACTTTACAGTTCACCAGATCATACAGTCAGATTTATTAAATGTTTTCTATCCAAGGGAAACCAATTGATTGCATTGACTCATTGACTCGAAGGTCAATCCCTCAAACTAAGCATGCTTGTGCCAAAAGTGGAGAGATAAACCTCCCTTTAAACAGGAAGAAACCTCCAGCAGAACAATGCTCAGTGTGAGAGGCCATCTGCCGAGGACGACTGGGGTTCAAGGAGACAGACACAGAGATACAAAAGGCAACTGTAAAAGGCGGCCCTGTCCAGAAAACACACAGCCAGGCAGACAAGCTCCTTACCAGATCCCATGTCAGAAGATGAAGAGAGCACATCCAGCCAGTCACAGAGAAACATGACTTCACAGAAAAACAGACTGATCTGGAACATCTATAGACAAAAGTGTTGATGGCAGCAGCACAGCTGATATTACTCTCCAGGATGGTGTCACAGCCAAACAGGAACAGATGAGGCGAAGCTAGTTGTATAACATTCTTATTATAATCTTACAGAATTTTCAGTTATCATGCATTAAACATCCAATTTTTTAAAACAGTTCAGGTACAGTATCTCTGGCTCTCCCTCTAACCCTCTCTTCATTGCTCCTCTTGCTGCTTGGCTCAAAGAGGCGCTCAGTTTGACTCAGCATTTTCTCCCTATTCTGTTTTTCCTTTAGTGAAGAATATCAATACAGTCAAAAGTTAAACTGATAGCATTTCAACATTATGTTTCAATGCCGGTGAACTTAACTTGTAGTCCCGGTTAATGACTCACGTTTATAATTTGACACTAGACTGTGTGAGACAACAGAAATGCTGCACTAGGTGAATAAATTGAATACATGTACATGTATGGTCAAAAAAACTCAGCCAAATTTAAGTTTTTAATTTTTTTTAACTTTCACATTGTTTTCTGTTCTTCTGAGATTGTTCCATGGGTAAATATACTACAGCCTATATTAGTCTTTAGTGAAAGACTTTTACACCCTGTTTGTAAAAAGGAGCGCTACCGCAGGTCGTTCTTCCCTGCTGCCACCAGACCATACAGTGCCCTCCACAATTATTGGCACCCCTGTTTAAGATGTGGTTAAGGACTTCAAAAAATTCTCCTTTTTTTAAACAACAAGAACCCAAAAAGTGAAAAATCCAAACTTTTAAGTACATTACTTTGGTGGTAAAAATAAACTCATACATTTAGAAAATAAAAAATGTGAAATCATGTGTTCCACAATAATTGGCACCCCTGATGTTAATACTTTGTACAGCCCACTTTGCAAACAAGACAGCACCTAATCTCCTCCTATAACATTTCACAAGATTGGAGAACACAGAGAGAGGGATCTTTGACCATTCCTCTTTGCACAATCTTTCTAGATCATCCAGTGTCCTGGGTCCTCTCTTGTGCACTCTCCTCTTTAGCTCGCCCCACAGGTTTTCGATTGGGTTGAGGTCTGGAGACTGAGAAGGCCATTGGAGGACCTTGATTTTGTGACTGCTGAACCATTTTTTGGGCACATGTTTTAGAACATTATCCTGCTGAAAGACCCAATGACGACCCATCTTCAGCTTTTTGGCAGAGGCCATTAGGTTTTCATTTAAAATATCCTGGTATTTCAAAGCATTCATGATGCCATGCATCCTAACAAGGTTCCCAGGGCCTTTGGATGAGGAACAGGCCCACAGCATTACAGATCCTCCACCCTACTTCCCCATGGGCTTGAGGTGCTTTTCGGCATTTTCATCTTCTGTTTTACGCCAGACCCACTTAGAGCGTTTTTTTGCCAAAAAGCTCAATCTTAGTCTCATCTGACCAAAGCACGCAATCCCAGTTGAAGTCCCAGTGCCGCTGAGCAAACTCCAGATGTTTATGTTTATGAGTGTTGGTGAGAAATGAGAAAAGGCTTTTTCCTTGCATGCCTTCCAAACAGCTCGTTGGCATGTAGAGAGCGTCTGATGGTTGTTTCAGAGATTTTGTGAAGCCCAAGATTCCACTCTTTGTTGCAATTGTGTGACAGCAAGCGTAGGACTTTTTTTTTACTTCTCTTACTATCCTCCTCACTGTGCATTATGGCAAGATAAACTTGGGACCTCTTCCAGCCTTGTTTGTTCCTCCAGTTTTTTTAAACTTCTTAGTGAATCATATGACTGTAGATACAGGCAAGTTAAGATGAGTGGCTATTTTCTAGTAACCGCTGCCTGACTTATGAAGGTCAACGCACATCTGTCTTACTTGAATTGTGTGTTCCTATGTCTTTGCCATCCTGACGAATTGGTAAGGGAATTAGGCCTCTGCGTCACGTCATATTTATACCCCAGGGAAACAGGAAGTCATGAATTACTAATTAAAAGTTCCTAGATACCCTGAACAACTTTAGCAACTACAGAAAAATACATTTAAAGGAAATCAATAAACATTTTTGTGGAATTGTTAGTGGTGCCAATAATTGTGGGAAACATGATTTCATGTTTTTTATTTTCTAAATGGGTGATTTTATTTTTACCACCAAAATAATGTACTTAAATAAAAGGTTGGATTTTTCTCTTTTTTTGCATTTGGGTTCTTTGTTGTTTAAAAGAAAAGTTGTGGTAAAGTTGTAGGCTTTCTTGTAATCAATCCAGGCAATGCTCAGGTTAGTGTTTCAGGTTCTGCAGTCTTGAGCGACTCTTGGTCTACCAGGAACTGATCCATGTGCCCACTTATCTTAGCAGCTATGATCCAGAACATGAGCGTCTACATTATGGAGAGGCCATTTATTGGCCGATAATTGGATGAGACTGTACCTTCTGAGTGATCCTTCAGGATGAGGATTATGTGCCCGTTAGCCATTCGGAGTGGTTCCCATTTCTCAGCAGCTGGTTGATTTGCGCTGCAAAGTGTTCATTGAGTGCCATGAGTTTCTTAAGCCAGTAGGCGTGTATCATGTCGGGGCCGATGCTGTCCAGTTTTTCATATCTGAAACTCTTTCTTGGATGTCAGCCACTGTGATGGTGACTGGATTCTGTTCAGGGAGGTTGCTGAGGTTCTCTCTCAGAGCCACCAACCACTGTACATCACTGTAGTGTGTTGCCTCTTTCTCCCATATGCCTTTCCAATACTTTTCAGTTTCCGGCCTTGGTGGGGCTGTTCTATTATTACTGTCCTGGCACTGATTGTTCACTTTCACTGGTGGAGTTGAGAACAGTTTACCTTTCTGGCTTCATTGTCTCTCGTGTACTTCTTTAGGTGGCTGGCCAAGGCTTGGAGCCTTTGTTTGGCAGTTTCCAGGGCTTCAGGTATGGGCATCTGGCCGTACTTGGGTACTTGCTCCCTAATACTTGCTTTTTCATTGCACCTTTTAGGGCCTCTGCCAACTGACTCACTTCTGTCCATGTTGCCTTGATATTAGCCTCCAGCCTTCTTTTCCGTGGTGTAATTTAATCACATGGTTGTTCTTACAGGCAAGCATCTCTAGGATCACTGCTGCTGTGCTGTATATCAGCTCATTTGTGTCAGTGATGGTTGATGTAGGAATTATTTGCAGAGCTGTATTCACGTCTTCTAGAAGACTTTCTCGTGGTACTTTACTTAGTCTATCTAACTGCCATTATCTAATTTATTTCAGGTCAGACGCTGCCTCTTTCAGCGTGGTTGCGCTTATTGGGGCATTGTACCCAATCTCTGGTGGGAGGGTTAGTGTTAACTCCCCTCTGACCTGGGACCCGGGTTCCCTGGTTCCTCCTTACCAGAACAGGGGTTTCGGACCTCTTCAATCTCAAGTTGTGAGAACAGTTCCCGTTTATGGATGTCAGAACATTGAGCTACTAGTTGTTTCACCATGAATGTGGACTGTGGGTTTTGAAGTGACAAATTCTCCCGCATCCTTCGCATGTAGCACCTCTGACTAGGAGCCCTGTTCTTGAATCTCACTCATTTCCATCTTGTTCCAGTAGCCCATTTTTTTATCAAGGTGCTCTGGTTCCCCAGCACCTGATGCAGACCTTGTTTGGCCAGGAGACTTCTGAGCCAGCATGTCATTCATTTCGTTGTCTCTCATCATTGTTTGAGGTAGGCATTACTGAGAAGGGTCTTGCCCGAGGACCCACACTGGTCTTGGTCCATCCCTGGGTTTTTTTTGTAGATTGAATCCAGCAGTCTGACAAAAATAGATAGTAGCCCTAAACTGCAATTCAGGGGTACTGTAAATGCTCTCAAAGATTATAATTGATTCCATAGCAGACCTCTGATCCCATTACATTTATACCATCAAATTTGCACTGTAAATCAGGAGGAGGACGTTTTGTAGCTAACACCATATGGATTGGTCCCACCAAAACCCCAACAAAAAGTATTTTTATTCTTCAGCAATAGTATCTAAGTGCCACTTGATTGTATCTCTTATCTTATATTTGTTGGCTTTTTTGTTCTTTTCACATCTCTCCTTGCAGATGATAAAGCAGACTGAAGATCATTGTCTCCCTTTCATCTCTTCTTTCTTTCATCTTTCACCTTTTTCTACTTACAATGATGTGTCCATATAATTTGCAATACTCCCTGCATAACCATAAAAGCTATTTATATTCATATACCAAGTTTAAAAAATGTATTTATTAGGCAGGAGGGTTTAAAAACAATTCTGCATAATGCACCTGTCTAATCATGATAAATAGTATTTTCAGAAAGTTTTATAGAATATAAATGAATTCTAAAGTTTTGTGTATTACTAATTTTCCTCACATTTGTACTGACAACTCAATCATTTGAAAGAGGTTCAGATGGGAGAAAAAGTCTAAAACGAGTGAAAAAGGTTATTTCCACATATTGAAAAGATTAATTCAAACACCTGTCTTGAAAACAAAAGAAGAAAAAAGAGGTTGCACTCTGCTGTTACTCTATTAACATGTCACAACAAACTAAAGGAAATGTTATCTGATTATAAAGATTTATAACAGGCATGCAGCTTTAAGTATGTGTTTACCACCACTTACAGTAAATCTGCTTACAGGCGACGGGTGTTAAACATATCCACGGGCATAGAGGCCTTGGGAACCATTCGGTGGGATCTTACATTGTGCCTTTTTCTGTCCTGGATCATCTGCTACTTCTGTGTGTGGAAAGGAGTGAGATCCACAGGAAAGGTAAGGCTACAATAAACAATATGCTTTGCGTTCTTTAAACTTAATCATATTTTTTATTTAGAAAACAATCAATGGTCACAGTTTGAATAACTTCGTTAAAAACTGTAATACTTTGCTTGATTAAAAGTTTTACAAATACCCAGGTTCTGGGTAATTCTAAACCCTAATACAAAAACAAAGTTTGTGGCTTTTATGAAGTAATATAGGGATTTTAGTCAGCAAAGCTCTCCTGTCTTTGCCTTGGATTAAAAGCTAAGAGAGGGGAAGCAAATGGAAACAATGTATTGAAGCTCTTTAGAGATTCACTAGGGGGAAAAAAACAGCTACACAGAGGAATAAAGAACCCCACTATTTTTCCAAATCATGGAGTTTTCATTCATAAAGAACAAGATCTTAAAGATGTGAAACAGCAAAATTTGGACTTGGCTGGGTTTTGTTTCTATAATGTGGTATTAATTTGTGCGGATATCTGAAACTTGGCGGAGGTTTTGTTACATTCCAACACAGGATTTTGGATTTCTGGATGTTCCAGATCAATTGAATATTTGGATTATAATGGAGCCTAAAGCGTCTGACACGATTTATTTCCATGAGATATTGCATATTAAAACACCAAGACATTTTACAGCGAAGTTGAAGTACATGAGTTATTTCCTNCATTACATTTATACCATCAAATTTGCACTGTAAATCAGGAGGAGGACGTTTTGTAGCTAACACCATATGGATTGGTCCCACCAAAACCCCAACAAAAAGTATTTTTATTCTTCAGCAATAGTATCTAAGTGCCACTTGATTGTATCTCTTATCTTATATTTGTTGGCTTTTTTGTTCTTTTCACATCTCTCCTTGCAGATGATAAAGCAGACTGAAGATCATTGTCTCCCTTTCATCTCTTCTTTCTTTCATCTTTCACCTTTTTCTACTTACAATGATGTGTCCATATAATTTGCAATACTCCCTGCATAACCATAAAAGCTATTTATATTCATATACCAAGTTTAAAAAATGTATTTATTAGGCAGGAGGGTTTAAAAACAATTCTGCATAATGCACCTGTCTAATCATGATAAATAGTATTTTCAGAAAGTTTTATAGAATATAAATGAATTCTAAAGTTTTGTGTATTACTAATTTTCCTCACATTTGTACTGACAACTCAATCATTTGAAAGAGGTTCAGATGGGAGAAAAAGTCTAAAACGAGTGAAAAAGGTTATTTCCACATATTGAAAAGATTAATTCAAACACCTGTCTTGAAAACAAAAGAAGAAAAAAGAGGTTGCACTCTGCTGTTACTCTATTAACATGTCACAACAAACTAAAGGAAATGTTATCTGATTATAAAGATTTATAACAGGCATGCAGCTTTAAGTATGTGTTTACCACCACTTACAGTAAATCTGCTTACAGGCGACGGGTGTTAAACATATCCACGGGCATAGAGGCCTTGGGAACCATTCGGTGGGATCTTACATTGTGCCTTTTTCTGTCCTGGATCATCTGCTACTTCTGTGTGTGGAAAGGAGTGAGATCCACAGGAAAGGTAAGGCTACAATAAACAATATGCTTTGCGTTCTTTAAACTTAATCATATTTTTTATTTAGAAAACAATCAATGGTCACAGTTTGAATAACTTCGTTAAAAACTGTAATACTTTGCTTGATTAAAAGTTTTACAAATACCCAGGTTCTGGGTAATTCTAAACCCTAATACAAAAACAAAGTTTGTGGCTTTTATGAAGTAATATAGGGATTTTAGTCAGCAAAGCTCTCCTGTCTTTGCCTTGGATTAAAAGCTAAGAGAGGGGAAGCAAATGGAAACAATGTATTGAAGCTCTTTAGAGATTCACTAGGGGGAAAAAAACAGCTACACAGAGGAATAAAGAACCCCACTATTTTTCCAAATCATGGAGTTTTCATTCATAAAGAACAAGATCTTAAAGATGTGAAACAGCAAAATTTGGACTTGGCTGGGTTTTGTTTCTATAATGTGGTATTAATTTGTGCGGATATCTGAAACTTGGCGGAGGTTTTGTTACATTCCAACACAGGATTTTGGATTTCTGGATGTTCCAGATCAATTGAATATTTGGATTATAATGGAACCTAAAGCGTCTGACAAGATTTATTTCCATGAGATATTGCATATTAAAACACCAAGACATTTTACAGCGAAGTTGAAGTACATGAGTTATTTCCTTACTAGGGGTGTAAATCACATCCATCATGGCGATTCGATTCAGTATCGATTTCCTGATCCAACGTTTCGATTATTTTTGATACTCAAGAATACACCACGATGCGATTCGATTCGATAAATCAATTAATCAGTTATTTTTTTTTTTTTTTTTTTACACCTTACAGGCTAAACAAAGTTCCAAGTTTGAAATAAATCAATGAAAGCTGTAATATTGTTATGCATTTTTTTTTTTTAGAAACAACAGCAAATAACAGAAGTAGAAAAGTTGCAACAAAAAATACTGCAAAAATACTGCACAAAATCAGTGCAATGAGTGCAATTCAATACCTCGGCTCCAGACGTCCCCGCCCCCAAACTAAAAAGCCCACTTCTGTATTGATAGGATCAATACCTAAAAGATGATAACATTAGCCAACCTTGCTATCACCACTGTCGTCTCTCTTTGACCAAAAGGGGTGAACGCCTGTACAGATAGTGGACTTCCTGCAAGTTAAAATGATCAAAAGTTAAGCTGTTCCTGTGGCTCTGTAAGAGTCACCATACCATTTCTTTGTTAAAGTGATGGAGCCACTGCCTGTCCTAGGACAGAGTGGAAAATGTAGGTTCTGTATCTTCCTGTCTCTACCTGCAGCACGGTGAGTATTATATACAGCAGCTTTATAAATTAAGGATGCTGCGTCAGCAGCATAACCGTTTGAAATGAATGGCAGGTGGGTGAACTTCCTGAATACTGCAATGAATAATCAAAAGAAAGTAATATTAGGAAATATAAAGATATAAACTGTATTTCTTTGCAAATAAGAAAAAAAAGTTTTTAAAAAATGCTCTTGCCATAGCTTCTGCAGGCGAGGATCGGACCGCCAGGGTCCCCTCCCCCGGCCGCCACCCAACACACATTGCACCCGACCCCTCTGGCCCCCCTCACGGGTGGTGGGCCCATGTAAGGGGGGACCCATGTTTACTCTTCGGGCTGAGCCCGGCTGGGCCCCATGGGTAAAAGCCCGGCCACCAGGCGCTCACCATCATGCCCCCCCTCCAGGCCTGGCTCCAGAGTGGTGCCCCGGTGAGGGAACACCGAATACCGAATCCAAATATCGTACTCATCATAAGGGTCTTTGGGCTGCGCTTTGTCTGGTTCCTCACCTAGTGTGTGAGGCTGAGAGGTTCCGGCTAGAAACGACGCATGGTTCTGGTTCTGGAACGAGTCTCCTTGAGAGGGGCTGGACATACCTCCACTCTGGAGTTGCCCACGGTGAGAGGAGCCAGGCAGGAGTGGGCATACTTTTTGCCCCCCATCTCGGCGCCTGTACGTTGTGGTTCACCACGGTAAACGAGAGGGTAGCCTCCCTCCGCCTACGGTTGGGGGGGCGGGTTCTGACTGTTGTCTGTGCTTACAGGCCGAACAACAGTTCAGATTACCCACCCTTCTTGGAGTCCTTAGAGGGGGTACTGAAGGGTGCCCCTCCTGGGGACTCCCTTGTCCTGCTGGGGGACTTCAACGCTCACGTGGGCAATGACAGTGAGACCTGGAGGGGCGTGGTTGGGAGGAATGGCCGCCCCGATCTGAACTCGAGTGGTGTTCTGTTGTTGGACTTCTGTGCTCATCATGGATTGTCCATAACGAACACTATGTTCAAGCATAAGGGTGTCCATATGTGCACTTGGCACCAGGACACCCTAGGCCCCAGTTCGATGATCGACTTTGTCATCGTTTCATTGGACTTGCGGCCGTATGTCTTGGACACTCAGGTGAAGAGAGGTGCGGAGCTTTCCACTGACCACTACCTGGTGGTGAGTTGGCTCCGGTGGTGGGGGAGGATGCTGGTCAGACCTGGCAGGCCCAAACGTGTTGTGAGGGTCTGCTGGGAACATCTGGCGGAGTCCCCTGTTAGGTGGGGCTTTAACTCCATCTCCGGCAGAACTTCGAACACATCCCGGGGGAGGTGGGGGACATTGAATCCAAGTGGACCATGTTCCGTTCCTCCATTGTTGAGGTGGCTTATCTGAGCTTGAGGTTGTCGGTGCCTGTTGTGGCGGCAACCCTCAAACCCATTGGTGGACACCTGCGGTGAGGGATGCTGTGAGGTTGAAGAAGGAGTCCTATCGGGCCCTATTGGCCTGTGGGACTCCGGAATCAGCTGATGAGTACCGGCGGGCGAAGCGGCATGCGGCCCGGGTGGTTGCTGAGGCAAAAACTTGGCTGTGGGAGGAGTTTCAAAAGGCTATGGAGAAAGACTTCCGTACGGCTCTGAAGCAATTCTGGTCCGCCATCCGGTGTCTCAGGAGGGGGAAGCGGTGCAGCACCAACACTATAATGGGCATGGTGTGCTGCTGACCTCGACTCGGGACGTTGTGGGTCGGTGGGCGGAATACTTCGAAGACCTCCTCAATCCCACCAACATGCCTTCCATTGAGGAAGCTGGGCCTGGGGACTCTGGACTGGGCTCTCCAATCTCTGTGGGCGAGGTCACTGAGGTGGTTAAAAAGTTCCTCGTGGTAGGGCCCTGGAGGTGGATGAGATCCCCCTGGAGTTCCTCAAGGTCCTGGATGTTGTAGGGTTGTGTTGGGTGACACGACTCTGCAACATTGCATGGACATCGGGGGCAGTTCCCCTGGATTGGCAGACTGGGGTGGTGGTCCCCCTATTCAAAAAGGGGGACCGGAGGGTGTGCTCCAATTACAGGGGAGTCACACTCTTAAGCCTCCCCGGCAAGGTCTATTCGGGGGTGCTGGAGAGGAGGGTCAGTCGGATAGTCGAACCTCAGATTTAGGAAGAGCAGTGTGGTTTTCATCCTGGTC